AAACTAAAAAGTTTTTTCTCAGCAAGAGAAATAATAAGTGAGGTAAATAGGGAGCCTACATCCTGGGAACAAATTTTTACCCCTCACACTTCAGATAGAGCTCTAATCTCTAGAGTATACAAAGAATTCAAAAAGTTAAACAACAAAAAAACAAATAACCCAGTCAACAAATGGGCCAAGGACCTGAACAGATACTTCTCAGAGGAGGATATACAATCAATCAACAAGTACATGAGAAAATGCTCACCATCTCTAGCAATCAGAGAAATGCAAATTAAAACCACTCTTAAGGTACCATCTCACTCCAGTAAGAATGGCAGCCATTATGAAGTCAAACAATAACAAGGGCTGGCAAGGATGTACATTGCTGGTAGGAGATAATATTTCAAGGTAAAGCTTTAGGCTGTGACACTAGGGATTATAAAAATTAAAGAGGACCCACAGCTTGAGAAAGTTGTTATACAATCCACCTTTACTCAAAAATTTGAGATAGTCTTCTATTTCAGGGTAGAACTGGAGGAATTTTTACTTCAACTTGTATATATTCTAGTATACACTATTTTCAAGGACTTTTGTAAAAGTTTGAAATCAATTTGGAGAAACATACCCTTAAGCTGCTTTGATCTATGGAACAGTCCAAAATTAAGAATATGCATTCCTTGATTTAGTCGATAGTTTTTAGTTCCTATTGTGGGCTAATTAAGATGCTGACAGAGATGTAAACAGGAATACATGAAGTATTTTCCTTGTCTTCTAGAAGTCATTCTATGATCTTCAAGTCACTCCCTCTTGCTTCAGACCAGTTCTACCCAGAAATTTTCACTCTCAGTTAATGATCACTTTATGTTTCCTTCAAATATTCAGGTTCAAAACCCTGCAATTACCAGTGTTGACACATTTTCTCCCAAGCCCCATTTCCAACTACTCAGAGATCATGTTACTCCTACTTTCAGAATATAAACAGAATCTGGTAACTTCTTATCACCTCTGCTATAGTTTGAGTTTCCTTAAATGTCCCCCAAGGGCCTCTGAATTAAAGGTTTTGTTCTCTTTTGTGTTACAGGGAGGTGGTAGAAACTTTAAGGGGTAGGACCTCATGGGAGACTTTGGGTCATGGGGATGTGCCCTTAAAGGGGATACTGAAACCTGGGTCACTCCTCTTCCTCTCTAATTTTTGCTTCCTGGCTGCCATGGGGTGAGCAGATTTCCCTGTCATGTGCTCCTGCTGTGAGGTACTGCCTCACCATAGGTCCAAAAGCAATAGGGTAAATTGGCCATGGACTGAAACTTCCCAAACTATAAGCCAAAGTAAATCTTTCCTCTTTTAAAGGTGATTATCTCAGGTATTATGTGACAGTGTAATCTATTCTAACACTCTAGTCCAAGCCTCCTTCATTTCTCCCTTATGCTTCCAAAGCAGTCTCCTTTCTGGCCCCTTTAATTTCATTCATGTCTCTTTGTACATAATTCTCAACATGACATGTTTCAGCTTTGTGGTCTTTGTATTTGTTATTCTCTTGGTCCAGAATATTCATCCCCTAGATATTTTTATAGCTTGCTCCTTTATTTCCTTTAAAGTCTTTGTTCAGATGCTATCTTTGCAGTGAGGCCTGCCCTGACTAGCCAATTTAAAATTTGATCCTTTAGCATTTTCCAGTTCCTAATTTACCTTGATTTATACCCTAAACTATTTAAACATATTTTATAAATTACTTATTGTGCTATGTTGTCTGTCTTCCCCCCACTATAATATAAGGTACATAAGAGCAGGGATCTCTGATTTGTTCACTGCTATATATTCAGTGCCTATAACTGAATATAACATATGATGTTAATTGTAATAACATATGATGTAAATAACATATGATGACAATTGGTAAATTTAAGTTTCATTAATGAATTGTGGTAGAAACATGCATTAAAGCATATCATTACAACATCATAGGCTAAGTGTTAATAACAAAAATATGCACCAAGTACCCTTGATGTAAACTACAAAGTGAATGCCACACATCCCCTCGCCCCAATACTGGGATTAAACCCAGGGCCCAGGACACTCTATTACCGAGCTATTGCAATATTCCAAGGCCCCTTTTGTTTTATTTTTTGAGATAGGGTCTTGCTAAGTTGCCCAGGCTAGACTTGAACTTGAAATCCTCCTCAGGCCACAGCCTCCAAACTGCTAAAATTACAGGTGTGTGTCATAGTGTGTGACACACTCTTCAACTTAGCTTCAGTTTGTTTTCTCATCAGGAATGCTTCTCTTCATTGTCATACTATTCAAACCATATCAAGTCTTTTTTTTTTTTAAGAGAGAGAGAGAGAGAGAGAATTTTAATATTTATTTTTTAGTTTTCGGTGGACACAACATCTTTGTTTGTATGTGGTGCTGAGGATCGAACCTGGGCCACACACATGCCAGGCGAGCACGCTACCAATTGAGCCACATCCCCAGCCCCATATCAAGTCTTTAGGGACCTTCCTCCACAGTGCATTTTTTTTCTTTTTTCGGGTGTTCTCTCTTTTTCTCTCTGCTTTGAATGACTATGACACATGATTGGAAGCTCCCATGGCCCTTATTTAATACTACCTTGAACCAGAAACATTCATATTCTTATTTTCTGTCTGCCTGCTTAATTATGAACTCCTTTGAAGCAGTGATTTCATAATTTTTTATCTTTGAATCCTCCACAGAATCTGATTCAGTGCCTTGCATAAAGTTAATGTTTGCTATAAAAATAAATTAGTAAGTTTAAGTTATCAATTCCACTTATTTTATTGTCCTTAAGTGCATTCGCCTGAAAAGAATCTGCCAAAGCCACTTGCTTACCAAAATCTAGATTACGACTAAAGTAACTGTGAAAGTTTAAACACTCACAGTGATCGTCTAAAGAAATGGTATTTTTTGTGTAGTAGTTCATTTCAATTTAAGATTTTCTTTAAAATGAATGTGCAAGTCTTGAGACTAGCTATCTTCCTTTCAAGAATTATAAACAAGAATTAAATTCCGTCTGCACAAAAGTAGGTATTACATTAAGTGACTGTCATAAGTAATTTTAAAGCCCACATTTTTTCTGTAAGCACACATCTCAAATTAAAAAGAGAGACAGTGGAAAAATAAGATTCTATTTCCAAATAAGTCCTACAAACTACTTTCCACAAATCTTCCTGAAGTACAAGAGATAATAGTTGCCTTCGACCTCCAAAAAGAGTATTTAAACAACTTATATTAACTGTAATACTTTGTGAGAATTAAGAAATATCCCCCAAGATAAAAGGAGATTATTGGGAGCATTCCACAACTAAAACAAAGATCAAATGCTGCTATAGTTTAAAGAGTTAATGTTTGGTGGCTATTTAAGGCAATTGGCAAACAATGTCTACTCTTCATTGCATATATCCTCATTTTTGTTCCTTTCTGTTTTTCTTCTACCCCTTTTGCCATTATTACACAGTTTAGGCCTATTTGATTTGTGGTAAGAGTATTATTTCTAAAGAACCATAATTTCAAACAGTGGTACCAGGAATAAAACTAGTTACTTATGCCAAATTCTTACCCATTGAATTAGATCTGTCTAAACCTGGGATGACAGTCTACTAAGATGTTTATAATTTATCTCATAACCTATTATAGCAGGAGCCAACTCACCCTGTTCCAAAGGAATATTTATATTAAATACAAAGTTTCTTTCAGTTCAAATGTTTGTACATGAAAAACTTAATTCTCTATTCTGTAAGAAACCATTTCTACAGATCCTTTAAAAATACTTTTAAATTTGTAGGCCTAATAAATCTGTTCTTTGTATAGTAACTAGTGTTATGGTTTAGATGTGATGCATCCCCCAAAAGCTCATGTGTGAGACAATGTAAAAAAATTTAGTGCTTGCTTCAACAGAACATATACTAAAATTGGAGCAATACAGAGAAGATTAGCATGGCCCTTGCACAAGGATGACATGCAAATTAGTGAAGCGGTCCATATTGTTTGAAAGGAGGGGAAGGCAGGGGATGTGGGGATAAGAAACATAGCAGAATGAAACAGACATTATTACTTTATGTATGTATGTGACTGTATGACCAATGTGATTCTACAATATGTATATTCAGAAAAATGAGAAATTATATCCCATCTATGTATGATATGTCAAAGTATATAAGTGCACTCTACTGTCATGTATAACTAATTAAAACAAATTAAAAATTTTTTAAAAAGAGAAAGTTTAGAGGTGAAAAGATTTGGTTATGTGAATCTTAAACTAATCAATGGGTGGTAACTATAGGCAGGTAGGGTGTGCCTAGAGGAGCGGGTATGTCTTTGGGTATGTATTTTGTCCCTGGTTTACAGTTTGTCTGCTTCCTGGTGCCAATTTCTGAGTTGCTTTCCTCCACCACACCCACCATGGTGTTTTGCCTCATCTCTGTGGAGCAATGGAGCTGGCTATGGACTGAGATCTCTGAAACACTGTGCCCCAAATAAACTTTTCCTCCTCTAAAATTGTTCTTGTCAGGTCTTTTGGCCACAGCAATGAAAAATCTGACTAAACCATCAAGATCATATATGAGAACCAACAACATTTGAGCAACACTTTATTGTTTTTGGCTATCATTATTCTAATTACCCAGATCAGAAAAATTTAGGCTTCAGTGAAGTAAAGGTGAAGTATCAACTGGGAAAAGAGGACTCAATGGCAAGTCTTATATTTTCACATCTTATGATATCTCCAGAGATACTATGTTTTGTACAAAGATCCCAAAGAGAAATCATGAAAATAAACTCAATTCCTGAAGAACCAGAAGGTGGAAAACAGAATCTAAGATTTACATGTATTGTCTATACCTAAGTCCAGCTTCCCACAGTGAGCTGCAGAAACCTAGAATAATTCTTCTAAAGATTACTTTAAGCACAAACCTGCAACACAATTAAGTAGATGCATACAATTAGGTAAGGACTTAAGGATTATTCTGAAATATAATTGCCAAACAGCCCCCTGTTTTTTTCCTTCACAGTATTTAGTTTGTAGTGGATAATTAGATCAAGTTTCTCCCTGCTACTAGACTGTATAACTCCTCAAAACAAGTCCGGGTCTTCCTTCTTCATCTTTTTATTCCCAGCACCAAGCAAGATCACAGCCTGTGGTTACACAGAAATGAACGTAAGTAATTAAAAAAAAAAAAAAAAAAAGGTGAGTTTTGACCAGGGGTCTGGAAACTTCTGCTTCCTTTTGAAGGACAATCTTCCAAATACAAACATGAGTTCTAGCATTTTCTTTTTCCAGTCCCTTAGCATTCCAGTGTCATAATTCTCTTGTGACTAATGGGGGAAGCCAGAAGTACCTCACTGGATAGGAAGTTTTAAATGAGAACGAATTGACAATGACACTGGCACATAAATACATGCTGTGAGAATGTTCCTGGCCAGTCTGGCTCCCGCTATGCTGCTGTAGGGCTCTTCACCAGATTTTGGCCAATAATTCATTCATACTTTTCAAAATCATGTACCAGAGCTCACTTCTAGGTTAGGGTCGTTCAACTAAATTTTTTTTTTCATCCGCAGAGCAAATGCTTTGACTAGTCATTTGTCAATTACAAATATCGAAGAACCGGCTACTAACCACTAATTCTGTCCTAGAAGCCTGTTGAACATGCCAAGGGTTGAAATCTAAAGCACGCCCACAGGGCCGAGCAGCTCCCACCGCCAGGCGCTGGGCTGAGTGCACGCGCCAGCCCCCAGGGGGCGCGACGGCTCCGCCCACAGAGCCCAGGGCGCAGGCGCGGGGGCATCGGCGGGAG